CACCACCACCACCACCACCACCACCACCACCACCACCACCACCACCACTCCCTTCATCTGTAGGAAAGCAGGGAAGGGTTTGCAAGGCACAAGACGCTGGAGAAACGCACCCTGGAGCCGCCAAACCTTTGCACAGAGGGCGTGTGGAGGCGCGGAAGGTGGTGCAGAGCGTGAGGCGGGTCACTCGCCCGCAGGGCCGCAGCACACACACACACGCCGCCTCGGTCTAAAACAGACGCCTGTCTATGGCAGCGGACGTCCAGACAGTTGTTGATTTTCAGCGTAAAGATCTATGGATGGAGGCCTTTCCCGTTAGATGGGAGCCCCTTGAACGGCCTGGCGCTGCTAGTCTGCTCTCGCGGTTGCCTTTCCCCGAGGAGGCCCAGACAAAGGCGCATCGCCGCCGATGGATGACGCGGGGTTACTAGACTGCTCCCTACTCAAGCATCCTCAGTGCTTTGGCATGGGGGCAGGTGACTGGGAGAGGGCCCTGAGGTCTCCTTCTAATCTTGTCCCTGATTCACTCTTGGGAAGAAACCTAAGGAGCCCAAAGCCCTGGCTGATGCCTGCAGCTCAGCGACCGCAGCTCTCTGGCCGCTTCCCAGAGCTGCCAGGCCCCCAGGAAGGACGGGATGACCCCTGCTGGCCAGAGCGGTGGAGACTGTCTCTCGGGGACCTGGTGCGGCCCAATCTCCAGTCCCTGGAGTTTGCAGGGGACCTTGAAGAACAGCCTGTGTCTGAGGTACTACCTGGGCTGCTGGAACTAAGGTTCTTAAGGTTTCTTAGTCGAGCTTGTCACTGGTGGTACTCCTAAGGCCTATGTCCCAAGCTGAAGCTTGGCAAGAGAGTCAATAAATTGGGCCTCAAGGAGAACAACCGTTAGCCAGTGGGAACTAGTCCATTTCCAAAGTGTGGTTTCCCTATTCAACTCAACGCCTTCTGACTGAGAGGAATTGGGAGACCAGTCTTCGCATGTCTGTTTCTGTGATCCCAGTGGAGAACTTCCTTCAAGGACCTGTCTGTGTGGATGGAATCTTAGCTGAAAAACTGTCTGTGGGAGCATATTGTCCACTCGGGAGCATGGAAAGATGGTCCATAATGTGCACAACCTAGTTCTGTTGTGGTCGCAGCTGATACATGCAAAGAGCCTAAAATGCACAGATAAGATGTTTCCCTATAAAGTATACACATAGGCGCTTTCATCTGCTACATGAAGAAGTGGTATATTGAGAAAAGATGAAAGGTAGACCCATATATTCACAAGCAAAAATTTATTACATATGTAAGCAAGACATATGCATATATCCTACATAGGGAATGTACTATTCTCAGTTCATTTAGTTACATGCTTCTATATTCCATAACATGAAGAACCATTGCATGAAAATGTATCCAGATATTAATATAGCAGAAAAAACTCAGTGCAAATTGTATCATATTCTTGTATAAATACAAAGTGTATGTCTACCCAGAATATGAAAAACATTATAAATTTTTTTGTAAATTATATTGGCACATTCTTTAGACTCATTTTATTATAAACATTTAAAAATAAATATTAAAGCCAGAGCTGAAGGTCTGGAAAGACAGGAAGCCTCTCTGATGTAGCTGAGTGTAGAAACTAGAATCAAGTTTAAGAGCATCATGGAAGGCCAGAAAGATGTGCTGGCATTAGTAATGGCAATCTCCATAGCTGCTTTTTTCCCCTCTGTCTAGAATTTCTGTCTTTGAAACAGCCATGTATGTCAACAAATATTATTCTCTAAGTGGTCACTTTTAATTCACCCCCACCCCATCCTGTGTCTCTTGTCTGACGCTGGAGTCTGTTGGGAACAGCAGGATTCCATATAGAATCATGACTAGATAGAATTGTTATAGCTATCTAATTAGGTCACATCATGTGTCACAAATGCACTCTTCTAGGCCTAATGCGAACATGCCAACTCCATGCAGCCAGGTAGGAAAGGAGTAGACAGTGATCTGGAGAAGCATGTAAAGGTGTGCACGGGCTCCTTTAGGTCGGTTAAAAAATATTGTATACTCTCAAGCCTAGGCAGTATCATGAAGCAAGGAACCTGGGCCCATTCTGCTCCCACGCAGGGCAAAGGCTTCAGGCCTTCTCAGAAGGGGCTACGATGGATGTTGATCCTAACACTTAGCTAGTCAGAAGCCAATCACTGGGTCTACACAAGCAGCAGAGAAAACCAACCCCATAGCACAAATTTTAGCAGATCCATTTTCCAGCACTGAACTGTGTTGTGGTTTGGGGAGGGGGGGAGAATGTTACTTGAGTCTTTCAAATCCGGACGCTAATACATATGCCTACAGAAAGATTCTGTAAGAGACAGTGCACTCACACTCAGCAGACATATTGTTTATGAGTCCACAGGTTCCGTGTAGACGCGGCCATATTTTACAGTCCAAAGGAATCAATTAATTAGAGCCTCCCAGTCCTGCTCCCCCTTCCCCCCACCGCCGGCGGCTGCTTGGCTGAGCGCGTGCGGTATAGATAGATGTGCGTGGTCAGCTCGCCGGTCATGTTAACAAGTCTCATCATAAAGATGAGAATGATAAGGAGAGCAAAGAAGCCCAGGAGGCCTCGAGGAGGCCTTCAAGGGCCCAACCTCCAGAAGCGACTGCCTTGGCGTCTGTTCGGGTTTATCCCGGAGTTCCTTCCTTCTGGGTCGGTCACATTGTGAGCTAGGGCCTCTTCCCGCTGGCCTGAATTAAGACTTTTCTTCATTGACCTCCCAATAGAAATTTAAAGACAAAAAAAGCACATGAATCTTTCTCCGTGTTCACCCATTTTCCTTCTGTCACTGTTGGGGACTTCCACAGGCTCCGTTTCCCACATTTCTGGGTTGTTCCCTTTGGTCTATGCCTGGTGCTCTCGTCTCCTTCGCTCCTTCCGGCTTTTGCTCTCTCTGCCTTTGCAGTCGCTTTCTACCGGGTTGGTGCGAGCTCTGGCTCCAATGAGCTTGTAAAAAATAAAAATCTGCAAGTACGCCCCAGCTATCTTTCGTGAGAATGGAGAAAGAACATCCCCAGATAAGCCAGACCAGAGGGAGAGAGAGACAGAGAGAGAGAGAGAGAGAGAGAGAGAGAGAGAGAGAGAGAGAGAGAGAGAGAGAGAGAGAACACCTTGGGTGTAACTGCTGGTTTAGGTTGTAGCACTTAATTCTGTTTATTCTTGTCGATGTGCATACTTAACAGAGAGATATTGATATAAAAGGGCAAGGGGGAATTAATTTTACTTTTATAGTCATCTATTAAGAGCAGGAGATGATCTGAGTCTCCTTTAAAGGGACCAAAAAAGAGGGGGGAGGGAGAGAGGAAGGGAGGGGGGAGGGAGAAATATGACTGAAAGGGAACAAAGATCTTTGCCTGAAGAAACAATGTAACACTAGACAGAACTATAAAGTCTGGGAATGTAAGAACGAGGGACTCTCTCAGCTCCCCCCTCCCTGTGTGGAATCCTGTCCCCTCTACTTCCGGCTGAAGCCCCTACCCTGACTACACAGTGGTATTCAAGGAAGAATTCATGCAATTATCCGGATAATTGTAGGGAGAGAGAGAAAGTATTTCCTTTTTATTGTCTGACCCTCTCTGGTGTCTGTGTAGAGGAGAGGGAGGAGGGGGCAGGTGGTGTGTGGGAAAAGGGTGGGGGAGAAGGTAGAATCTCTCAATATACCCCAAGTCCTGCAAAATCATGAAGATCCCAGGCAAGGGCTTACAGATTTGAAACGCGGTGGAGAAATGCAGAGATCGATCTGGTTGAAGTTCTCTGATCCAGTTTCATTTTCATTTTGGATAGCTTGGATTCACTTTGTCTGCATAGATCTGCCTCCTCTAATATTGCAATCATCACAAGTAAGTGAATAATAGGTAATTACAGGGTGTTGATAATATTATTTTATAACCACACAAGATATGATTAGAGTTAATGTTGGAGGCTTTGTTGGAAGCTGGAGGCAATGTAGAGAGAGAGGCCCTAGGAATCTTTCTCTTTCCTGTTTTTAGATGTGTGAGAGTCTCCAGAAATCCCTAAAACACTAAATTCCCTTAAATGTTTTAAGGGAAATCACTAGGATTTTAGGTGATACAAAGTCCAAAGACAAGATGGAGAAACAATAATTTGATACTCACCCTTCTTAGCCTAAGGGGCAATGGGTGTTGCTTTCACTTAAACAAGAGGCTTAGTTCTCAGCGTAAGGCCACTTGGGTTGTGGAGACTTGGTGGATGAGGTCTGTTAGAGCAAGAAAGGAGCTTATCAAAATCAAGTTCATTGTCAACCCCAAATGGGAACTAGGCCCTGAATGAAGCCCTCTTTTATCCCTAAATTGTCTTTCCTGAAGTCCACTCAACAACACCCAAGTTGAAGTAAATGCCCAGCTAGAGCTTGGGAGGTCAGTTAAAGGCAGGAATCAGGGAAAAAACATTGAGTTTTGTTGTTGTTGTTGTTTTGAAGAGTTGAGCAATCTGAAGGCTGTAGGAGAGGGGACAAGATTATCACAGAAGCAGGGACAGAGTGAGGCAATAGAGTGTTGAGAGAAACTGTGAGACCCTGAGCAAGGTAGAAATGAACAAAGAGAAGCAGCAAGAAGAACCAGGAAATAAAAAAGGAGATAGATAAAAAGAAAAGGCAGAAAATGGGAAGGGACAGACTGACAGAGAAGGAGGTGCAAGAAAATCGCAAGGGTTAGTAGTTGTCCTGGCTCTGCCTCAATCTGGGTGGGCGGGAGCACCATGACAAAGTGAAGGTCAAGTTAGCAACGTACCTTATAAGGAAGGCGTCGGTCCTCCTGTTCAGCTTTTCTCTTTAGAAGGACTTAGCACTGGCATTTCTGGTCTTGTAAATACAGGACTTTTAAAAAACGAAGGCCCCCCTCCTTCCTTTATTGGGGGTGAATTCTGCAGCCCCAGGAAGCTGTGAGCAGGGAAGTCAACTAATGAATACTCCAGGAAACTTTTCTTTTCTGCCTCTGGCTCCGCTCTCTACCAGTTGGTGCTGCCCCCACCTCTTCCTGTCTTCTGTATGTTTCACCATTGTCTCTAACCCTGGGCACGATGTCTTTACTCCCCATCGCCCCTGCAGACTTGTAATTCCCTTCCGTTCTACAGCAGCGGAGTGGAGAAGGACCTTAGGAATTGGAGAGAAAATTAAACATCACAAAGAAAACTTCATTTGCAGCTTAAATGTCTGTATATTACGATTTTCTTCTGAAAACAAAGCAAAATGATTGGTAAGGAGGAATAAGGTCACAGGGATGGGGAGGGCTGGTATAGTGATGGGCTTGGATTTCTTTCTTTCTCAGATTCTGAGGTGGAAAGAAAGGGAGAGGAAGGAAGTGAGAAAGAAACATTTAAACCAGGCAGCTACCAGAGGAGAAGGGTGAAGCTGGTGAGGCTAGAAGCAAAGTTCTAGCTGCAAGGACCTGGTACTCACCCGATCCTGGCCTTCAGTGTGGAGAAGCTGGCTTAGGTCTTTCTTGGTTCAGAGAGCTAGTAAGCAGAAATGGAGGAAGGCCAGGCGCAGGAGAGTAAGGCGGAGCCTGAGACAGGCTTCAAGATACGGAGTAGACCGGCGTAGACCGGCAGTTGGCCTGATAGCTGTGGCGATCGGCAGGCAATTGGTGATGGGTACAGCTTGGGAGAAAGGAGACTAAACCTGGATGCTTGATTCTTTCCTTCCTTCCAGGGTAGAGAGAAGATTAGGAGTGGGGTGAAGTTAAGAGGGGGCTTATTGGTGTGGGGAGTATCTATTAAGGACTTACCTCCTTTTCTCTGAATCTTACTTGTGCTCATGGAGCCATCTTAAGGCCTAATTATTTCTTTCGAAATTGGAATTCTATAGCAAGGGGAGGGAAGGAGGTTGGATGCTTCAAGAGTGATGATGGCTAAACCCAATGTTCTAATTCTCCTGCACCCTAACTTTATTGTCACCTCTACTTTGCTAACTGGAAAATTGGCCTCTAGAACCAGCTCAATTCCACTCCTACCTATCTGTTTGGGAATGTCTCCAGTCTAAATGATACCTGAAGTGGAGCTGAGGCCTGGGTGGCAGCAGCCAGGAGCTGCAGAAAGGGCCAGCTGATAGAGAGACCAGGCCCCCTATCTTGATGTCTTCCTACTCAGTATCTTATATGGATAACAAAGGGGCTTGATCCTGATTTTTCCACACAATGTCTGTCACTGGGATCTGAAGAGATAAAGGTTTTGCCCACAGGCAATGTGTCTCAAAGTGCCTGGATTCTTTGGATAGGGGCTGAAGGTAGCCAAGGTGGGGACATCTGCTGTCAGGAATCCTCATAGAGGGGGTGACAGGCCTTCTTTGGCAGGGCCTAGAATTCTTTTCACAGTATTCCAAATGGTTGAAATGGACTGAGAAGCCCCTCCTGATGGCCCTTCAGCTTGTGAAGGAGAGCCCCAGCAAGTTAGGGGTTATTAGCTGAGATGCTTCCCCCTAGTGTGGGAAAGACTGTCATACCCAGGCCTTACCCTGCAACAGTGTTTTCTGTGACTGTGACAGAAAACTGCCAGGCTCTTTGGAGATTTGGGGGGACTTGAAAAGAGTGAGGCAGAGCCGGACACCCTGTGAAGGCCAAAGCTGTGAATATGGTGGAAAGGAGAACCTGAGGGGGCAAGGGGCTGAGAAGGTATCAACCCAAACCGTTTCCCCAAAGAAGCCAACACACACAACAGACTTTGATACTGAAAAACACCAGATGATCTGCTTGGAAGGGACATAAACCAGCCAAGCGGATGCAGGTTAATAAAACCCGAAAAAGCCCAGACAGGAACACTTAAAATGCCCAGAACAAAGCACACCATGACAAATTCTCACCCAACACACACATACACGCACCAGAACATTCTCAGGCAAAGAAAGAGACCTTCTCCATCCCAGGCTTCCTCCATTGGATACTTAGGTATACCTGCACAGCTCCAAGAACAGATTTGTTCATGCTTCTAAACTGACCCAAACAAACCCCCAGTGACCGTCGGCAGCCACCGGCTGCACTGCACACACCACGGAGACAGTCCATATCCCCAGAGCCTCACTAATGCAAGATCCAGATCCATACCCGGAGATAAAAGTCTAGACAATAGACGGCTGTTTATGACAACGAGGCTCTCCAAGTTTGGGGCCAAGCGATAAATCTCGGCGAATCTTCCTGTAACTCAACTTCTGGCTGTAGTGAAGAGAGGACCGCAGAGGAAGGCAGCAAGAGGGGGGAGACTTAAAGTGCGAGCAGAAGGTGTCTTCCTTGTGCAGTTCTAGGCCATAACCTCGCCCACGCAAGGCGGTTCCACTGTGGAAGCTTCGGATGGAGTTTCCTAGCACAGGCGAGTCAGGGCTCCTCTCTGTCTGCCCTGGCATTAGGGCTCAGAAGTCGGGCCAATGTGCTGGCAGAAGGCAGGCCTGGAAGCTGGGACAGACCCACAAACCATTGTTGCTGGGGGCAAGGGGGCTTTTTTCGTGGGTGACTGGGATCTTCTGTGTCACCTTATTTTTTTATATTCTCTCTATCCTCCTCCTCTCTCTCCCTCTCTCTTTCCTTCTCTTCCCCTCCCTCCCTCTCCCTCTCCCTCTCCCTCTCACCCTCTCTCTCTCTCTCTCTCTCCCTCCCTCCCTCCTTTTCCATTTTGGATTGACGAGCTGTTCCCTTTTGCATTTTCGACCCAGGCGTCTGATTACAAGTAAGGAGCCACTGAAGTTGATCTCATAAAAATGCCGCGAGCTCACTTTGATCAGCAGGGACTGGGTCCGAGCCTAAGTAGGCGCTAAAGCCGGGGAATGGCCCCTCCGGCCAACCCAACCGGGCTTGTTCTCCGCTGCAGCAGCGAGGCGGGAGATCCCGGTGGCCCAAGAGGGCAACCTCCCACAGAAAAAGTCTCAACTAGCTTTGGAAACTAAGGCCCAATGGCAGCGGCTCCATCTCCAAACTGCTCTGAAGACAGGTTCTTCACTTTAGAGCTGGGGTGGGGGTGAAGCTGGCTCATAAAACGGAGCTTTTATGGAAGAAATGGGGTCGCATTGCATTGCTAGCCTCCCGGGACAACCCCTCCGGGGAGGAAGCTGGGTAGGGCGGCGAAGCCTCCGGCTTTGCTCTTTGCTCCCCTACCTCGTCCACCGGCCCTGGAGGTTCCTCCAGCAGATCCACCAGCTTTGGTGGCCTAACCTGAAACCTTGGGCTTGCAGCGCTGACCTGGGCTGAGGAGAAAACAGGCAGGCAGTCCTTCGCGTTCTGGATCTCTGAGGACTGGATGAGGTGTGGGTGTCCCGGGTTCAAAATAAACCTCTAGCTTGAAAATCCCAACGCACGCACGCTAAAGGTTTATTCTATGCCTCCTTGTTGCTACTAAGCGAAAGAAAAATGAGCAAGAAGATGCAGACTGTTCTAAGAGTCCTTCTTCGCCAGTCGAACCTGGGAACAAATGAGGATGCCCATGTGTAGGACTTCCTTCTTTTCATTGATTCCACAAGAGGCTGAATTTAAGGCCTCCTTTTTCCTCCCAGGGTTGTCTGTGGGGGTGGTCTCTTTTCCTTATCAAGATCTGTACTCTAGAATTCAGGGAAGGTCGAGGAGGAAAAGGAGCCGCAAGGCTGCTGTTTGCCTGAGGCTGCTCTAAGAACCACCCAGGACAGAACTCAGTAGACAGTGCCCCCTTCTGAATCCGACCTTGTTGTTCCCTATGAGGGAGGGAAGACCGCTGGAGTCTGTCCTAGTTCTAGCCAGACCACCGAGGCAGCAGCAGCGCAGACCGCATCGGCCTGCTAGCGGCCAAGCTAGCAAGGATTGAGGCCACCAAGAATCCTCAAAGAGGTAGGATGGCTATCACAGGAAGATTTAGGTGAAAGCTGGGACTCTAGGCAGATGGAGGGATAGCCTGCATCAACCAGGTGAGGAATTAAAGCAAAACCAAACAACAGCAACAAGGAAAACAGCTGCCTTTAGTAATGCCCCCAAGTTTAGGGGTCATAGGTATGTCCCTCCAACCAATGTAAAGGGTACTGTGACCAGAAGCCCCAGACTGAGAGGGCACAAACCCAGTGGAGGCTTCCAGGTGGTCTGGACCCAAAGCCAGGCAGGCAGGCCACTACCCCCACAACCTTAAGCGTTTTTTGCTAATCAACATCTAACTGATCACAGAAACCAGAGCTTTCTCTCCTTGACCCCAGCAGCAACGACCAATTGCTGGGGTTTTAAAAAGTTGTTTAAAATTTTTGAAAGACCAACACCAGAAAAAAAAAAAAAACTTCATGCTTTGCTTTTATGGAGAGGAATATTCCTTTCCACAAGTCTGTGGAAGGACCCTAAAGTTTCCCAGACATCACCTCCTTGACACCCTTCTTGCCTTCTTTCTTTTGGTTTCAAGAAAATCAGACTGCTCTTTGCAGCCGCCTGCCTCACTTTTATGGTTGCCCAGGAATAAACTTTGGTGGTCAAATTCAAGTGCTCAGGCCCACAGCTGTCTTCTCACAGGAAGCAGACACCCCCTCCCACCTCTCTCCCAGGCTGTGCAAAACAAGACTTAGGGGATTGGGCCCCACACAGCCCAGGAGATCAAGGGGAAGAAGGAACCTAGTGGGAACATGGGAAAAGCTGGAGCCTAGACTGCCCTCTCGGCAAGAGGTGGGGTACCTCTGGCCTTCCTCTTGCTGGCTTCTATCACTGTTTGGGGAGCATCTTGCCTCTAGTAAACTCAAGTTTAATGAGGTCAGCGCAAACCCTATAAAAGCCACAGTCCATAGTTCCCCACCATCATAATTAAAAATGTGGCCCCCAGCTCCACTTATAAAAAAAAAAAAAGACTAAAGGAAAGGGAAAACGCAAGGAATTCTGTTTCTGGTCCTTTCTCTATGGAGATAACCCAATCTAGTTATTTGCCTTAAGTTAAGATCTGGTCAGGACTAAAAAGTACAAGAAGCAATGCCTAGCACTAAGTGCATAGACACTGGAGGTCTCTTCTGCAGTATTTCAGGACAACACACACACACACACACACACACACACACACACCAGGATGAGACCCATTGTGGTGGATGCAGATTCTAAAGGCTGAGTAAATTTGGACAGGTAAAAGAGTTGAGAAGGAATGGCTTTCAGAGGCTATATTTGGAAATAAGCTAACTATTTTTGTGTCTTCCCTCTCTGGTTAAGGATTTCAGTGCCTCACCCTTCAACAAAGAAAATCAAATCAAATGCACTTTAAAGAGGAAAACCAATTTGAAGCCAGCCAGCCTTAAGGATGCAAAGATGGCTGGAACAACCTTTGGTTTTTCCCTAAGAGAACAGGGCTGAGTTGTTGTTGGGGGGGGGAGGTTCACCCTTCTTTAACACATTCTGTCCTGATAGCTCCTTCTTAGGACCAAGGTAACTGTTACTTTCTGCTTGTTCCAGTTGTTCTGGCCTCATGGACCCAGTCCAGAACCTTTCAATAAAGTTATTTTCAGCTGCCCAGATGTGTGTTGTAATGACCAAAGGGATGGGCGGCTAGCAAATCACTGAGTATTCCTCCCTGGACACAGCAGTCCAGGAAGGAGGCTTACAGACTTGGAGGAGGGCAGGGTTGGACTGAGAAGAGGAGAAGGCAGAAAAGAAGAAGTCATGAGAGAGGCTGGAGACTTCTGGCCCCACCCCTGCCCACTTTGGGACCACAGTTTTATTCCACTGTCTTGTTGATTGATACTAGAGATAGTCACCTGGTCTCTCTACTCACCTAAGCTCCCAAAACCATTTTTATAAAAATTAGGATCCCTCAATTTAGTTCCCTTAACAATGAACCCTACTGCCAAGTTTCTTTTCAGCCCATTAGCTGGAGCTGAGCTCCCAACACGAAGGGCCCCAGATAGAGATAAGATAGATGACTCTCATTCTAATCTTTTTCTTTGGGGTTTGGGATTTTAAAATCCACAGTGGATGTAGCTTTCTGCACATTGATTGACAATAAAGGCAGGCATGAAATATTCACCCAGGGCCACTCTCTCATACTAAATATTTAACACAACATTAGAGAAGGTTTTTCCCAGACTTTGCCAGGCACCGGCTGGGCGGCTGGCGCGCTGCTCACCACTGGTTTATGACTAATAGGAGTCCCTAGCCAGCGGCAGCATAGCAAGCTAGGCAAAGTTGGGACACAAGCTCAGAGCTGGGCTGCCTCACCTTTGGGAAACTTCAGATACTCTTCTTGGGAACCTGTCCTATGAGCGAGCTCACCCGGCTCTGTCCAGGAAAATAATCTAAAGGACTTCAAACTCTTGTAAATAGACACTGATTCTTCAGGTAGAGGGGTAAGAGCCCCTGAAACTTGAGGATTCAATATTCCTGGGGAAATCAGGTAGGAAAAAGTCCTGCCTCTTACCCCAGCATATCATAAGAAGGAGGCCAGACCCCTAAACGGAAAGCTCTCCTCCTTCCCCCAATCCTGGGGGTGGGGGGAGCAGCAGCTAGGAAAAAATACAATTACCCCCTCTCAGCCACCGCCCCCGCCCATCCCACCGCCCACCCCACCCCAACCCTCTCTTTCTCCTCCTTTGCTCGCTCTGTGGAATGGAGAGGAGGGGAGTGACGAGAGAAAAACGAATACAAATCTGCAATTGATTTTCATAATGTTTCTGCGGTGTTTGCAAACCAATCGCCTGAACGTCCCCGATCTTACCTAAGAGAGAACCCCTCCTACGTCTGCGAAGTGCTCCGAACTGATATATGACAATATCTACTTTGGATCACGTGCTCGGGGAGAGAGACTAAGACGGATAACGCGTCATCTCGCCTTCCCAAAATTTCCCCCCTCGCTAGACCGGGTCCAAAACCTCCATCCGGAGCAGGCAGGAGAAGAGAACGATGTTTAACTCGGTCAACCTGGGCAACTTCTGCTCGCCTTCGCGCAAGGAGAGGGGTGCTGACTTCGGCGAGCGAGGGAGCTGCGCTTCCAACCTCTATCTGCCCAGTTGCACTTACTACGTGCCCGAGTTCTCCACCGTCTCCTCCTTCCTGCCCCAGGCCCCCTCTCGTCAGATCTCCTATCCCTACTCAGCCCAGGTGCCCCCGGTCCGGGAGGTCTCCTACGGCCTGGAGCCGTCCGGCAAGTGGCACCATCGGAACAGCTACTCGTCTTGCTATGCGGCGGCCGACGAGCTTATGCACCGGGAATGCCTGCCTCCTTCCACAGTCACTGAGATTCTCATGAAAAATGAAGGCTCCTACGGCGGCCACCACCACCCCAGCGCCCCACACGCGGCCCCCGCAGGCTTCTACTCCTCAGTCAACAAGAACAGCGTCTTGCCCCAAGCCTTCGACCGTTTCTTCGACAACGCCTACTGCGGTG